GTTGGAGAGCGCTGGTTTGACCTCGTCCTTGTGGTTTTGGCAGCGTTCTGTTTGTTTGCTCTTTTGCCTGTGTAGAGATGGCGTGTCCGCCGTCCTTGCTGCTGGAGTATCGTTTGGAGGTCGTTGAGGCGTTTTGCTTGGGGAGCTTTATTTCGTGTCGCTGTGTGTGCCTGTCTGGCAGCTCTCGCGTCCTTTGTCCCTCTAGCGGCCCGTCGCGTTGCGCTGTTTTGGTGCTCAGTTTGTTTGTTATTTCCGCTAGAGGGGGTATCTTCTCCTTTGGCATTTACCTATGGAGCAACAACTAATGCGAGCTTGCGTAAGTAAGCTGGGTTAGTTGGGCGTAAGGCCCAATGCGTAACTGTTAGACTAACTGTTTCGCAACGGCCCGTGTCCTCAGGGCCGTCATTTATTGCGCGCATTAAGCTGGTTAGCTTATCTTGTTTTTGTTGTTCAGCGCGCGCCCGCCCGCCCGCCCGTTTCTGGCGCAGCCTCGCGTTAGTTCAGTTGCGGTGTCTCTTTCTCCGTTCGTTAGGCCCGTCTTCTTCGGGCCTCTCAGTCCATTTCTCTCTTTCATTCTTTGTAACAGAAAATGGCATTTACCTATGGAGCAACAACTAATGGCAAGCCTGTAAGTATTACGTGCTATAAATTCGGGGTACACCCCGAATATTTGAATCACGAATCATAAGTGGGACTACGGTATCTCGCTCCGCAAAAGATTGAATGTAGAAGCTATATCTAACGTAACGTATCTATATTAACGTAACGTAGCATGTGAACTGGCTATAACTGCTAACATTTCACGGAAATGAATGCCATCTATCCACCAATACGCAATACCCCAATCCAAGTCGACCCCTTTCCTATCTGATCTATCTATCTATTGTGCAAAGACGACGTGCAATCAGCCCAAGTCCGCAAGTTAACCCGGGCCCTAACCGTGGACGCATCCCGGTATCCACCCTCACGTTCCCACCTTACAAGAGCCTTGGTACGGTAACTGATACTGAGATAGATCATTTGTTCCGAGACGCGAGCATATGACAAGACAAGACCAAAGAGACAAGACAAAACAAGGTGTTACCGGTTGTACCTTCATGTGTCCCCACAACGGATATCCCCACAACGGATATCCGTCAAAACAGACAGACAGACACAGACACACGTACCTTTTAGCGCCCGGGGGCAAGCCCTTAGGTATGGGAAAATTGCTTGACACCAAATTGTGCCGTCACGAATATGCTGTACATCGTGCACCCGGGCGGCAAATCACAAAAACAGCCCGCTACCACGGAGGGCTCATAAAGCACGATTTGTTTTGCAATGTGGGGTGCTTATGATGTTGGGGTTGCTTACGATGTCCTTTTACGTTCGTGCGTCGGTGCTTTTCTCGCTCGTTAACAGTGCTGAACAAACAGACTACCGACCACACTGCAATAACTTGTCCTGGTCCTCACCATCTTTGCATGGCACCAAAAATCCAGATGCCGTTTTCAAGCCCTTACGAAAAACGGAAGCACAAATGTAAAGTGGCCGTACTGTACATTTCGCTTGAACAAAGCAAAGTAACAGCTGAAAGTACTTTATTTGTACCTTAGTAACTAACAACCTGCGCCTGGAACCCGGGACTGCAACTGGGACACATTGCCATGCAGCGAAGGAGAAGAGCTACATTTAGGGAGAACACGGGTTTAGGCCTTTATACATCAAGGCAAACTTGCCACAATAACTCCAGACGCTGCAGGGAAGAAACCCATTCACCTAAGCGTGTCTGTCTGCTGTCGCGCACAATCTGCCGACTGTCGGGTCCGACTGCCGGAATTTTCTATTCAATTTTAAGAAGGCTCTGTGGTAATCATGCTATGTTTGTTACAACGTTGGTCTGTCATGATGCCTGAGCTTTGCTCTTCCTGAATCCGGTACGACGGCAATTTTGAGTTATAGCCCCAGCTTGTCCCAGCTTGACATCTGCCTTTGACGGAAACTTCAATAAGCTTTAGCGTGGTTCTATAGTAAATCTGAAACGTTTATCTATCAGACTGCGTAAAGCTCCGCCTTTCTATTCAAGCCGTCGCACAGGAGGTTCAGGAGCTAACATCAGCTATCTGGCCAATTTCCAGGGATGCCTAAGTCTTTTTAGAATTCAAGCTTACATCAAGAAATCGGCAGCGCAATTCCTGGTCAAGCTGCAGCTGGGCGTTTGGAGTGCACGGGCGAGTAGCTTTTCAACCGCAGCAGCGAGCCCTGTAATTCTGTGGGACTATGAGGCCCTGAGGCGGGACATGCGCCGCTTGGTTGAAGCTCTAGCCGTGTGGCCTCACCGCGGGTGCAATGATTGTTCCGGGACAGCATCTCAGGAAAGTTTACGAGGCCATTAAGAAGGACTCAAACGGTAGTGAAGATCAAAGCGTCCTTTGCCTTGCGGCATCCGTGGACGCGGACTCGGTATGCGCATCTCAACTGCTGTTGGTAAGAATCAGCCACCTGCACTTGCTGCTGACATGGGAGCATTCCCAGCTGATGTTCGCCAGGATGGTTAACTGGCTAACTTGGTGACTTTGCAGAACCTCTTCAACCGCGAGAGCATACATTTTTCGCTTGTACCAGTGGCCTGCTACGAGGAGGTCAGGGAGCATTGCGGCCCTTTGAGCAATGCACAGGTGCTAAGACGAGCACGGCGCAGCACGGTATGGTTTCGGAGGATACCGTGAAACCCCATCCCTGTACTTCTTGCAGGAGGTGAAAACAGTATTGCTGCTCAATTGTGGCGCCACGGAGGACGTGCGCAGCCTATGTAACCTTCCCAGCAACGTTCGCATCGTCGTTTTAGACCACCATAGGCCAGTCTGGCATGGGCACAACAATGATGATGACATGGATACCCTTGTGCTGGTTGATGATGATGACCCTGTACCCAAGCCTGCTGTACCGTCGTATGACCAGCAGCTCGATAACGAAGGTAGGTTGCTGAGCTAATACAGATTTCCATACCTGCGCAAGAGAAATGGCTTTGACTTGTTTGGGGCATGGGATATGGGTTGTAGATATGGCACTGTCTGCCCGACCCTGTTCCACAGCCTAAGGTTTCGGCACGTTGTCCCTGTGCGTTGAGTTATTGTTTCCTGACCTAAGACCTATGTTTGTGCAACGTAGAGATCATGGATCTTGCCCCTAATTCGCAGTTGCACAATCCGACGATTCCGCTAGTGAATCGGACGGCTCTGATCTTGATGACGTTAATGATGACGATAATGAAGAGGGGGTTGGTTCCGATGGCGAGCAGACCCGTAAACGTCACCGTGGGCATGATGCCGGCGTTTCGCCACCCAAGCGTGGCCCCGCTGCGCGGGCTGAGAACGTTGCCGCGAGGCGCAAACGCGCGGAGGAGGTGGATGCATACTACAGCGACCGGAACGGTTACGGAAAGCCCTCGTCGCTACTGCTCTTCTCGCTGTGCCACGAGTTGCAGCACGACGATAACTTCCATGTCTGGTAGGCCGGATTATTTAATAGCATGCTTCAGGGCACATGGAATGGCTCTCCTTACCATGCGGCCGCTTGCGACACACGCCTTCCCGCGTTCTCATCCTCTTTTCTTGTTATTTTGGGTGCATAGGTGCGCAATTGTTGCCCTCACGGAGCAGCTGCTATTCCAGCAAATTAGCAAGCAGCAGTATAACACGTGGCGGGACAAGCTAGCTGTCCACGTCACGATGCACCACGACCAGGACCAAGAGGATGCTGCACAGGTGTGCAAAAGCGAACTTTACTTGAGGTTGATGGGGGCACAAATAATCTACACAAGAAAGTTTAACCGGACCTCTTAGTCGCGCTTTCACTGCTGCCTCCATGCACTTCCTGCCAGTCTACATAGCTTTCCTAGCTTCGACTGAGTAACAACTGCAAGCAAACTTGTAACGAGTTCCGTATTTCGGTTGTGAATTGCCCCTCTGTACCTGGGGACATAGGACGGCATTTCAAGTTTGCTGTCCATGCCGCGGCACAAAGTGCACGTGGAGGCGTGCGAGGATTTGCGCCTGACACTGCTGCGATACTGGACCATCGAGGACAGCTTGAGGTAAGCGGCTTGGGAGTCTTAACTGAGTACGGGGAGCTCCGTCTAGGCAGGGTAGTAGCAGGATAAGGATGTCTATGCTTCATGGGAAATGCTCCATTACGGCGCTTCGGGGATGATTTGTAGTGTTCTGGCCTGGAAGCCAATTATTGAGAGCGGCGCGGTGTATGGCCATGCAGGTACACGTGCTACGTCGCTGCACGGCTTCAAACGTGGCGGCAAAAAGGGCTGGACAACCTCCGTAGCTTGCTTACGTACATGTGCATCCCGCTAAAGCACGCGAGCACAGCATACAGTAAGTGAACATATGTTTCTTGTCAGAACACCACTTCAGCCTGGTTTGTCACCTGCTGGCCGTCTTCCGGAAGACGGCCTCGGAACCTGGTTGCGCAATTATGAGCAACCATCTCCAAGCTAGCACGGTGTGAATGGTTGGGGGGGGTTGATTGCAGCGGGGTAGGCAGTGTGGTCATGCATTAGCCAGCCAGTGTATGTGGACTGAGCATCTTCGACCGCTATGTTATGTGTATAATGCAACTTGGTAGAGGGACTACGCGAGGTGTACAACGGTCAACTACGGAGTCAGTTGCCGCGCTTTGCTCCCCAGCATATGCTTGCTTGGGACTCTCTTCACTTCAATAGCTTTCGCTTGCTGTACAAGCACGAGGAGCTTGGTGCGTCGGACATGGTCTTCGCCCTCCTGGGCTTGCTGACGGAGGCCGAGCCCGGCAACCCGGACTCACAGCGAACCGCCTTTAAGTACGTTGGGGCAAGGGCAGCACATTTACACCGCATGCTTCACGTGGGTTACGGCAAACCTTCTCGAGCCCATGAATTGGAGCATCATGTTACCCGACCATTTCTCTGGTGCATATATCGTGGTGGATCCATGTCCTCAAATTTTGCTGTGGCCTTAAGTGTCCAACCTTGCGAAGTGTCCAACCTTGCGATACTGGTTTGCCACCTGCCCACAGCAACGCGCAGAGCGCCCTTCACGTGCAGCGCAATCTTCATATCGTGGAGCGCGGCGTGGAATTGGCCAAGCAGATGTGCCAAGACGTCGTGCAGTGAGTGATTGGGATAAGCGCGTTGGGAAGTCTATAGGGGTGCGTGGAGCCATCAATATTTCATTAATATGTCCAGACCCTCTTTGTATCGAGAGAGCCAGGGCTTCATTGGTTACAAGTTTCCTATATTCGTCGTGACTGAAGCACGCGTCCCGTTGGCCCCTGCAGCGAGTGTGGACTCATGATTACAGCTGGCAAGGTCAAGGGCGGTCGTTCAGCCGACTACCGCTGGGTCAACGTGGCAGATAGCAATGCTTTGGCCAACCCGCGCTTCAGGCACCCCACCGTGCTAAAAGTAGGTTGGCGGAGTGCTGTGTCTCATTGTTCTTGGCCGATAATTAATTCCCTGGGTCGGCTGCTTAAGAGCGCTGTCAGCATCCGCATCATACAGATAGTCGCTTCAATGCCGGTGCATAAGTACACGGTAATGCAAGGCTTGGCCCAGTCGTTAAGATTGCCATGTTGTTCCCTTATGTTTCTCACTCCTCCAGTACATGGCGCTGTTCCTGCGTGACGCCACTAGTTGCCGATACAGCTCCAGCGACGCCCGAAGGCCCATGGTCGTCGCCGGGGCCGCCGATGAACGCGGCTTGTGCTGTCTGGTGTCCGTTCACGCAAAGCACATATCGGGTAACCGATTGCAGGTGCGTTGGATTGCGCTCGTATGGTGAAGTGGAGGCTAATTCGTTTGGAAGTACTGTCTGCAACGTTCCTATGCCGTTGTATTGCTGTTCCCTTGCGAACTGTGCTGTACATAATTCGCAATTTGGTTGTTTTGGTACTACCTGAATCTGCCCGCCCCACAGAACAATCCGTTTGCACGGCCCTTTATCGAGACGGCTAGCGCTCTCAACATAGTCCCCCTCAAGAGTGCTTTTGAGAACGCCACTTACCACATCCGCAAGGAGGACGTCACGGCCTTTCTGGGCAAACTACAGGACGTGGTTGCCGACTACCGAGCGGTTGCACAACAGGCACAGGCAGTGCAAGGATGATGATGCTGTCTACCGCACTGTTGCCATTGGAGGCAGCGCTGGCGGACTACGGTTTCTGACGGTCGTGTCGATGTTGCGCAAGGGGCAGGTATACCGCCCGAGCAGCCGCAGGAGTTGGGCAAATTATTGCATGTGTCGGGATATCATAGCGCCGTTTGTGCTAATGGCATAACCTGGTTGCTGGTTGCGGCATTAACGAGGCCATATACGTGGTTTTGTGGGGTTATACCGGACGTGTGCTATACAGTAAGTGTGTGCCATAGCGGAATGCAGCATGATTATGTGTATTTGTTCCTGCCGCGTTTGCCCTGCCCGTGGTTGGCGGGATTTGGCATTGACCACGCTGAGGCTCGTGGGAGTTATGTCGTTGTGACATCACTGGCCGTGAAGGCGTGAAGGTTAAATGACGTTGACATTTACGAAGTGGCTTATGTTAGTGAACGGTGGGCGGCTAAGGGGGTAGCAACCGTTCCGGCCTTGCAACGGTGTAATATAGTTTACAGTTGATTCAACCGACGCTTCGCCCAAAAGTGCCATTTCATAGCAAAGCTCTGTAAAACTGTAAAATGCACAGGCCCAGTCACTGGACTGCGTTGCACCTGGGCGCGCTAACTCGAAGCCATAGCACAACCGCCATGATCTTTCTTCCTGCCGCCATCCGGAGCCCCGTCACACATCCTCTGAAGGATGCGCGCATGGCTCACCGACAGACTTGTCAGTTACTCCTAATATCCTGACAATTACCTCTTCTTCATGTACGCGCACCTCGCACCTCACGGGCCGCTCCAAGTCCCCTTCTAAGCTTGTAATGACGTCTGCTCCAAAATTGCCAATTTGCTCCCTATCGCCATTGGACAATAGGGGTTCCGCATCTTCCCCTGGTGGTGCTGCTGTGCGCCTCCGATACCGAGCCCAGAGGTACCTAACAAACCGGTATCCCACGTAGAAGGTTATCACCTTCCCAAGCAGATAGCCTATGACAAGGATCGCCGCAATCCACTTGAGGTCGAGACTCTGCCCTAGGAGCGTCATCGTGTGGAGTCGAAAGGTGCTGGTGAAGCATCAGCATGCAAATTTCCGTCAAGTTCCTTGTACAGCGTCCTGCGGAAATGGATTCATGTGCATCTCGCATTAACCACGTATGTGAGGTCCTTGAACGATTGGGGTGGAAGTTGACGGGCGTTATCGGCAAACAGCATGTACAACTTGCTATTCAATACCTGCAATGACTGCTAAGGGTAGATTAAGGATTCACACATCCAGGAGGGCCCCGCTCTGGACAATCGCCAGCCAAGCGATGTGATGTCGTTGCAACACCCAGGCACGAGATAGCAAGTTGACAGCTGCACTTGTCCGTATTAGTGTCGTTGACGAAATGTTTATTTGTTTACTTCAAAATATTGTAGACGCTTCGCTCCAACTTATTCGAGTCAACCGTCACGCCGTATGTTTCGGGCATTGTAAGAGCCGCCCTGGGATATGGTTACTTATGTACAATTACGGGGCATGACACCAGGTCTGCATCTGGACACCCCATGTCAGAAACACCTCATCCCCCACCGCTGGCAGCTGCGTGGGCTACGCACTATTGGTTTCATGGCTGTCCCTCCGGTCCTTATGGCTCGTCCAAGTCCCTCGCAGCCTCCGCAACAGTGTTAACGCAGCGACAACAGCAGCTTACGCTCCAGCAGATACTCCAACGCAGCTCGCCGCGGCGGCGGCATCATCCACGTCGCGGCCACGTGATGCTGAAGCGGTGCTATCAAGCCCTGAGTGAATCCATTTCCACAGCCTTCTCCACAGCCTCCCCACAAGCATGTATCGGCGGTGTCCAGGGTGGTCCGGCCGTGCTCGCCACCCGCAACGTCCCGCTGACGCCTCCTAGCGCACCCCGCTCCCGCTCCAAGTGCCCTGGCCAACGCAGCTTCACGTCTTGCTCGGTGGTCGTGGGAAGCCTTGCAGCTGGCCCTCCACCCACAGCATGAGCTCTGACACCATGCGCTCACTCGAGGCCCATGAAATTAGGCGCCGCTCACGCAGATTCCTGCGGGTGGTGAGGGGTTACATCGGTGGGCTAAAGGGGCGAAAGGAGCTGAGGCTCGACCGGACGTAACAGCTGTGCTGGGAGTGAACGGATAAACTGGGTCAAGCATGCTGATGAACGCCCAAGCAGGCAAACCGCCCTTCTTAAGGTGTCCACTCAGTAACACTGCTCCTGTTGCTGCTGCTCATGCTGCGGAGTTGAACTGAAACCCTTACTTCCTCCCTTAACCAATTTCAAGCAACAGCTATCCTCTGTGGCAGGTCGTACGGTGTTCTCTACCTCTCACGGCACCCCCCGGCTCCTTTAGCCCCTCCTGCAGTGGAGGAGCTCCTCCCCAGGTGACGGCAACGTCCACCAAGGCCCAACTTCGTACTCTCAATACCCGATGACCAGCAGCATATGCATTATCCACCATCAAGCACAACCACCAACCTCCAACCGCATGCCTCCACAATGCTCGCTGCTGCGTTCCGAAACCTCCATCGGGTTGCTGGGGTACCACCGAGGATGTGCCTCAGTAGAAGCGCCCGACTATCATCGGATGCGGCGGCCGCGCTCCCCACAGGCTCGGAAACCGTGCCGTGGCTGCAAGTGGGTCGTACGATCCGTACAACTAAGCGGATCGAGAATGGACCGCACCGGGCTTATCACAGCCCTTGGTGCCGTCAGCGTCCAGGCCGGTGTCACTGTCGTTGGCCCAGCTGCTGCTCACATCGCCACCGCCGCCGGTCTCAGCTTCCTGAGCATCCTTCGGGGAAGCGGTGAATTCTGAACTCCCAGGGGCGTCCGTGCCAAATATCGTTGCATTATCGCCATCACCACCTCTACCAGTACCTCCACCGCAACACAGTCACAAAGAAGTGTGCTCCAACAGCGCTCTCACCACCGCGACAGTAGTGGAAACAGCTGTAGCATCCTCACGACTTCAGGCATAGCAGTAGAAGTAACCGTCTCGTGGGGGCGGCAAGACCACAGCAGCGCCGCAGCCAGAGGGATCTCCAGTAAGGAAAAGACTCAGAAATGGAACTGTATTCGTTAAAGATGGCGCGACGGGGGACCGCAGGGCCGGAGGGCAACATATGGGAATTTCGTGGCTAAGACAGGGCGAAGAGAAACGTTGATCAGTGCCGCGGAGCCGCTTGAGTCAAGGACAAGCCTAGACCTGTGGGTCTTGGATGTGGAATCCATAGAAGTGGTTTTGGATATGGGACCGGCGCAGTCAGGTGGGCTATTGGGGGGCTGGTGGCCAATCCTGGAGGTGGTGGAATCTGGGTCGCTGGAATCTGGGTCGGCTGGAATCTGGGTCGGTTGGAGGAGGTGAGGTCCGCGGAGGGGCTCGTGTGTGGGGAGCTGGTGGCCAAAGTGCTGGGTATTTCGCTTGGGAGAATGTCTTCGCCGGCACATGCAGGACCCAGCCGAAGCTGGCCGGGGGACGTGCGCCAGGGACACGCACGCCACCGGGCCACCAGCGCTCCGCCGCGAGCTTCTGGAAGAGGTCGCACACGGCTTCTGGATTGGGGTAAGCAGCGATTGCTAAGCGTGTGAGAAGCCGCGGCCGGGGACACGCCGAGATTGGCCGAATAGGGTCGGCGCGGCATGCCGCTTTCCAAGCAAAGGAACTCTCCATACAACTGCTTATCCAGAAGCTATCAAAACAACAAAGACAAGGGTGTCGTACGCTGCTACCATTTTCGCACTGCGCAAGTGCCTATCAACCGTCGTGCTGTGTTACACGTCCTTACGCACAATCCCTTGTCTTGGATTTGCCAACTACCCCGACCAGGGCCATGCTTGTCGTCCCTAGCTAAACCGTACTTTGTGCCCAGCCCGCTGACGGTGCCATCCCGGTACATCCCGGGGTGAGACCCTCGAGAGCTAACTCAGGCTATACCTTTGAAACGCTTGCCTTTTACGAAGGGGACAAAGGGCAGGAGCGTTCGACAGTACACTTGCATAACTGACTTGTTGGCCCCAGCTGGTAAATTTATCAATGCCTCGTATCAAGTCGTGGGCCGCACTGCGGTGGGCCCCAAACCGGTCAAAAACCTCTTATCTGCAACAGGTGGGCTGTCGCGCTCCGTGTTTCCGCCTCTGCGGGACTGGCACCACCTTGGGGCCCCACCCGAACCGGGTCCCTCCTCGTGCGTCGTTAGCTGCGGTGGCATGGCGATATGGCTACACGAGTGCACTACCCTGCACATCCTCAGTTTGACTTGTGTATACCTTGAGTTGCGTTACCAGGCGTCACCCTTCTAAAGGTAACGAACCCACAGACATGAACGGTCTTGTAGCATGCATGAATCCCGTCACAGCTATCCGATATGATCCTCCCCGCTGCTATTTTGGAATCACAAAGTTCAAAAATGCATGCAGCGCTGGCTTATGCCTTGTGCATGCACACACACATAGATATACACACGCACACACACGCCTCTCTCCCACAATCCTCGCGCATATGGGCCCCTAAAGCACATTCTGGCTTTCGGCCCTCTACCTACCTACCTACCTACCTACCTACCTAACACCCCATAGGCAAACATGCATGGCATCATAGTTTATACGCCATTGCTCGTTGGCCGTGTTTCAACGGCGAGCACGAATATAGAAAGAAAGCATTGATCCGGAAAGCACATCCACCGTGTACACACATACGCACGTCCTTCCAACATAAGCCCTGGTTACACAAACGAGGTCATTGTCAACTGCCGGCCAGCCGGGTCCTATCACTTTCCAGCTGAGCCGCCCTAAGCACACATATAAAAGAAAGACACCTGGGGCGTGTCAATCCCTAGGCAGGTACCCCTAAAAACTCCCTCCCGCCACCGAACCGACAGAAAGGGCCCCCATCGACTTGAGCGATGTTGCCCCGCCCATCCCTCCCCCAGCCCCAGCCCCTCCCCCACCTCCCGCCCCTCCTCCTGGCACACCGGACGCGGCGGAAGCTACCCCCATGGACTTGAGCGATGCAGCCCCCGCCACCCCCGGCCCTCCCCCTCCTGGGCCCCCTAGGAACTCGGACAACATGGCATCCACGTTGAGTACCCAGGGCCGGTTCGCGGCCTCCTTGAGCAACATGCCCCCTGGAGTGGACTCCTTCACGGCGGTCGCGGGGGCCAATACGGCGTTCTTGGCGGCTGAGGGGCCGGAGGGGGGAGTAAAGTGGGGGGGATCGGGTGGGGAGGTAAAGGACTTGGGAGGAGGATGTGGGTGTAGGTAGATGACGGAGATGCTGGAAATCGCGAAGCAGGCCTGCCGCAACGTCACACGCATACACGTAAATACATTTGTGCTTCCCTCCCTTCCGCAATGCACGCATACATACATACATACACACACATACAGACATACAGACAGACAGACAGACACACGCGCACGCGGGCGCACACACGCTGGTGGGCTTTCACGAACAAATAAACAAACAGACAAACAAACAACGTGAAGACAGATACACAAGCAACAGACATATGGACGGACAAACGGACAAGTAGGCTCACTCTCACCTGCGATCACTTTGGCATTGGCAGCCACCTGCGCATCACGATGCTCCTGCCAGTTTGCCATTCGGTCCAGGTAGGGGTCCGAAGGGGGATGCGGGGTGACTCCAGGGAACGCCCGATCAAACACCGCCCGCAGAATCTCTTCCTTGCCCAACAGCATGGAGATCAGATCCTGACGCTCAGCCGGTGTTAGGTTGCCATCGCCAGCGGCAGCTGCTGCGGCGGAAGCAGCAGAGGCGCCGGTGCCTCCGGCGAAGGGCCCGTGCGGTGAGGCGGTGGCGCTGTTGGGTCGCCGGTTGGCCGTCGGGTGCAGCAGTGGAGGGCGTGCGGCGGAGAGTGGCCGGCCGACGGGGGAGGAGGCGGGGGCGGGACGGAGGGCGGAGGATGGGCGGTGCTGTCGGGCCTGGTCTCGGTCGGATGAGGACCGCTCCTTCGCCGCCTCCGACTCTAAATTCGGAGACGACGGGGTTCACACGAGGGACGGAGAGGGCAGGGGAAGTGTGCCTGATGTCAGTTAGGGGTCCAGCCGGGCAAACTGGCCCAATATTGGCGATATCGTTATCGCTTATTTGAGAACATATTAAACAGGTTTCATCATGCCTAGAATGGATATTTTAAATAAAAGCGAACAAAAATTTTAGTACTCCTCCGAGCCCACCACCCAAGCAAGACCCAAAATCCCCACAGTCGCACACGTGGTCAGATGGAACTGACGAAGGAAGCCAAGGACCGCAACGAGGAAGGCACTGAAGCGGGGCAGCATCGCCGTACACGAGGGACGGAATTGCCGAACCGCAGGAAGAAACACTAGGCCTGGCAACCTACCATTTTCCTGACCTCCGCCCTGGCCACCTTCCTATCTGCTCTTCCTCTCTCGGCCACCCCCTATCCACGTCCCGCCTCTCATCCCGTGGACTCACGCCCCCCTGGCCCCAGCCACTCACCCAGCAGCTTGCGCCTCTCCCGTAAGTCCTCCACACACTGCCTAAGGACCGCTTGAAGCCCCGTGCGCTGCTGCAGCTCCAACGTGTGCGCCGCCCGGGCCTGCTTGGTGCGCCGCCGCTCAGCCTCCAACAACCGCTTTAGGTTCTCTATCACGTCCTCGTACCGCTGGATCTTAACAGCCACCTGACCCTCGGGGCCGGCGGCGGCGGAGGTCACTGCCGCGGCCGCAGCGGAGGCAGAGACCCCGCCGCCGCCGCCGCCGCCGCCGCGTGAGGACCAAGGCCGTGTCGAGGCCACGGCCGAGCCTGGCCGTCCGCCACCTAGGGTCAGAAGGACGCCAGCGCCGACCGTGCTGCCGCCGTCAGGGCCAACGGCTGTCGCCGCCCTCATGAGCTCCTCCTTTTCCTGGTTGAGTACGGCCATCTCCTCCAACAGTGCCGTCAGCTGGTTTCGGAGTGCGGTGTTTTCCTTCTTGAGCGCCACCGTTTGCTTGATGAGGTACTCCCTGTCCGCCTCCTGCAGTTTGAACTGGGCCCTCAGTCGGGAGTTCTCCTCCGCCAACACGCTGTGCTTCTTGTCCAGGATCTGCAGCCAGGCAGGCAGGCAGGCAGGCAGGCAGGGGGAAATCATAGGCAAGGAGCGAGAGTTAACCAGACAGGGGAGAGGTACGCGAGGAAGGGAATCATAAGCAGCACGCAAACGATCAACGAGCGGGAAGGAGGACGAGGAAGGACGATATGGGTGGACTGGTACGGACAGGATTACGGAATAATAGTATTGTTCCTGATACGTTACTTGGTACAGGCACTCATACTACCAAGGTTAACGGATTGTCAGTACCAGTTCTGCGGGGGGCAGTAGCAATATAATGGATCTGACTATTTATTATTGGTTTCTGACCTTAAACTTAATATGTGGGCTTCTCTCCGTGTTGCGGGGAAATTGATTCCTCTGAACCGCACCCGCCAAGCAATCCTCCTGCTTCCGACCCCCCGCCATAAGCACGTTACCGTCAGCAGCTCTGGACCCAGCCACCCACGACCCACCCACCCGCCGACCCACCTGTGCAATCTGTTGCGTATCCTCCAGCTGCGTCCTCAGCTTCTTGACCTGCTCCACAGTGTCGATGTCTTCCCGGGCCGCCCCCTTGGCCCGCTCAGTCACCACTGCCGCCTCCAGCTCGTCCAGCCGGGCGGTGAAGTTGCGCAGAGTGGAGTGCTCCTCGCTGCGGAAGGATGCGGCCTGGGCGGTGAGCAGGTCCTCAATCTGGGACACCACCTGGTTGTGCAGTTCACTGGAAGGGGGTACACGGGGAGGGTGGAGGTGGGGGCAGGCCGGGAGTTGAGGAGGGGAGGGCTAAGGAGGGGTTAGGGGGATGGAAATCATGTGCAAGAAGCAAAAAGGGCAAGGGGGGAAAGGGGGAAAGGGAGCGCGAGCATTCGAGAACGCAATGATGAGCTGTACAAGGCAGCAAAGTTATAGACCCAGCAGCACCCCACAAACACATCCATCTATTCCTGGGCGGGAGGTTGCCCACTCCCCTCCTTAGCTGCAAGCCGCATTCTAGTGAAATCACCACCTTCACCCCCCGAAACACCCGCAACTCACATCTACCGCAAAAAAACACCCCACCCCTCACCCCTCAAGCTCATAGGACATCTGCACCTGAGATTGATTCGCAAATAAATGCACTCCCCCCCAGCGCCTCCCCGCTCACCGTATGTTTGCCGCCGCCTTTCCGAATGTCGGGTTCTGCGGCTGCTCCCCCCTGGCCTTCCTGAGCTGCTCCTCCAGCTTGGCCACGTCCTCCTGCAGAGCCGCCTCCCGCCGCATGTAGCTCTCCTGACGCCGCTCGTTGTCCGCAGCCAGCTCGCGAACTTGTTCCTGTGTATGGGGGAGAGAGAGTGTGTGTGTGTGTGCGTTTGGGGCGACGGAGGGAGGGGGTTCAACTGGGCTTCAGGCGGGTGGCGGATAACGGGCCCGCTCGAGGCGGCCTCCATACATATGGTTATATGGCACCCTGCCCCTTCTATCTGGCTTTCCCAGACCTTACGTAGCACCCTAACACCCCCTCCTGCGCACACACACAGCTGGTGCCATCATTTCCCGTGAGCACTGACCGCCCCCTTACCACTGCCGCCACACCCTCCCCTTGCCAAGCATCCCTGTCTCTTCTGGCCGCTTCTCCAGGAACCCCGCCTCCCGTGACATGGCCCAGCTGCCAGCCCCTCCCTGTCATCCCTTCTCCGTTTCGGCCCCCTCTTCATCTCCGCCCTGCATCTGGAGCTCCCCCCGGCCTGCTTGCTCCTCCCCTCCTCCCTCCTCCCCTCCTCCCCCCCCC